AAGGAGCCAAGAAATGTTAGGCTTGGACTAGCTACAGATAGAATGAATCCGTTTGCTAATTTAAGCACAAAGCATAGTTCATGGCTTGTTTTGTTGATAATTTACAACTTACCTCCATGGTTATGCATGAAACGCAAATATGTGATGTTATCGATGATGATTTATGGTCCAAGGCAACTAGGAAATGACATTGATGTTTATTTAAGTTCGTTGGTCGAAGACTTAAAGATGTTGTGGGAGGCGGGAATTGATGTGTTTGATGGGTATTCAAGTGAATCATTCAAGTTGCATGCCATGTTGTTCTGCACAATCAATGACTTCCCAGCATATGGAAACTTGTGCCGGTATGGTGTTAAGGGGCATAAAGCTTGCCCTATTTGTGAAGAGGGAACTTGTTATCATCAATTGCATAATTGGAAGAAGACAGTTTACCTTGGCCATCGAAGGTTTCTTAAACCTAACCATCCATATCGAATGGATATCAAGAATATGACATTGCTCCTACTGCATTAACTGGTGACAAAGTTTATGAACGAGTGAAAAATTTAAATGTGGTACTTGGTAAGACGAAAAAACAATCAAAAGATACAAACATATGGAAGAAGAAGTCGATATTATTTTATCTTCCATATTGGAAGGTTCTTGATGTTAAACATTGCATTGATGTCATGCATGTTGAGAAAAATGTATGTGATAGTGTAATCGGCACGCTTCTCAATATTTAGGGCAAGACAAAAAAGGGCTCAACTCCCGTCTAGATTTGCAACTCATGGGGATACGACAACAATTAAATCCACAATCTAAGGGTAAAAGGACATATTTGCCCCCAGCATGTCACACTTTCTCAAAAAAGGAGAAAACAAGTTTTTGTTCTAATAAATGTGAGTTGTTTGTGGATGGATCACTCGATCCTGTGGGTATAAGGAAGATTCACATATTAGGGTCCACTGTACACCATCAAGTCATGGGAGATGATATGATTAGGGTTTCAGTGTTGGATGTGAGACAACCAGAGGCTAGAGTTCCTATGCCCACAGTGGAGGTTCAGACAATGGGACAAGCCTTGAACACCTTCCTTCAGTGGCCTTATAAGTTAGTAAAGGTGATATCTACGAAGGTATGTTATTTAAATAATATTTAATTTTAAGTTGGTGTAATTTTATTATAATATTGTATAATATTAGCTTTGTACTTTGTGGAGTAGGATATTGTTACCTCACCAAAGGGTAAAGGGACGGTCATTGTTACCCCTTCTAGAAATCTTCCTCCAATAAAAAGGCTATGGAGATTAGTTGCAGATATGGAAGATGACGAGCAACCCAAACAACTCCCTTGGCCTCCTGAAGTGTTTAACATGTCTAGTAAAGTACCTCTATATATAAGTCAGAGTGATATATCAGAGATTACAAATGGTCATTGTATGCTAAACATATCAATTTTGCAGTTATGGTTGTTGTAAGTATTTAAATTATTTTTAATTATATTTTGTTGATTTTTTCTAACATT